CATGACCAGGAAAAAAAAAAAGAAGGCTTAAAGGCTCTTAGCAATAGCTAAGTTTTAAAGGAGGTTTGATAAACTGAAATGAACTTCTTAGAAATAATCTACTAAAAAATATTGAAAACTCGATATTTAAATAGAAAAAAATGCCTCAGTGTCACAAAGAGTTGACCCTGATACCAAAATAAAGAAGATAGAGCATTAAGCATAGCAGATTGTGATGATATTTTGTTTCTGTACGAATTATTATTAGAAACCAGATTTAGATTAGCAGAGGAAATTCTCATCAAAATTATTGAGGACCAAGAAATCAGAGGAAATAAAATAAGATGTATGGTTTAAAATGAAAACAAATCTATTATCTAAAATAATTTCTCTACTACTTTTTAAATTGTTTCTAATTATTTTGAGTTGATACAAAACTAACATTATGGTATTAATAAAGAGAAATTAAATTGTGATTATAAACTAATCTTGATCATGTAGTTTTGTAGTTAATGTAAAGTATACTCCTCCCAGCTGAGATTGATTCTATCATGAGTGGAGTAAAAAGGGTTTTTTGATATTTTATTCTACAAATTGAAGCTAAATCCCTAAGTACATTTGAAAGAAGCTATTATATTTAACAAATATCTTTATATTTATGGAGTATCTAAATTAGGTACTTATCAAGGTGGATTCATATGAGGCATGTCATTATCAACAGCAACAAAATCTGTGAGTATATGAAGCATATCTTTTCTAAAGCCATCAGGGACTGTAGCTGCCTTTGCATTAGCAATTCTGATTATTATAATTGTCATAATATGGCAAATATAAATAAGTAAGGAATTTGACTTTAGAAATTTCAAGTTTTTATATATTTTCCTTTTTCCCCATGTTAAGTATTATTTCTTAATTTGGCTCTCTGTTCTAAAGTTCTTTGTTTTGTTTCTTTAACCATAAAATATGAGAATGTAAATATCATTTTTTAATTTCCATCAGGCTAGATAAAGAAAACTAAATTCTTTAGTGTCCTTCAGTTCCTGTATATTGTATGTTCTTAGCTCATAGGATTAAGTCGTGTGCAAGAGCAGAAAGAGCACTGTTGTGAGAGTTTTACTTTCTACTTTATCACTCACCCATTGTGAGTTTGCACAATTATTTAACCTCCCAGTGTCTCAATTTCCTCATCTATAAAAGGTTGGAGTCATGCTATATCTTTTGTAAGGTCCCCTTTCTTGCTAAGAAAATCCTGAGCTAGCTAATTTTTAAAATAAAATTATTTCTGAGAGACAAAACAAAATTCTTCAGAAAACCTGTCATGAAGGGTTTTTTGTCTTCTACTGCTAACTTTCTGAAGCTTCCTCTGAAGAAGGTGGTGCTGGTGGTGGTGATAGTGCTTGTTCTGCATTTGGGTTCACTTCGTTTTGTAAGTACGTTTATGAACATTGTTTCCGATTTTGTAAGATAAATTTGAATAGAACAGGTTTGACACTCTCAAAACATCTCTTATAGATGAAAAGGTGTAAGGAGGCTTCTGAACATGGGGCATATTCAGATCTGCTTCAGCGTCAGAAGGCAACAGTGATTGAGAATAGCAAACTTACCGGGAAGATAAGTGAACTGGAAAAAATGGTAGCCGAACTAAAGAAACAAAAGTCTCGAGTCGAGGAAGAACTTCCTAAGGTCAAGGAGGCTGCAGAAAATGAATTGAGAAGGCAGCAGAGAAATGTAGAAGACATTGCTCTGCAGAAGATAAGGGCAGAAAGCGAAGCCAAGCAGTACCGCAGGGAACTTGAGGCCATCGTGAGAGAGAAGGAAGCCGCAGAACGGGAACTGGAGCGGGTGAGACAGCTCACGATCGAGGCCGAGGCTAAAAGAGCGGCTGTGGAAGACAACCTGCTGAATTTTCGCAATCAGTTAGAGGAAAACACCTTCACCAGGAGAACACTGGAAGATCATCTTAAAAGGAAAGATTTAAGTCTCAATGATTTGGAGCAACAAAAAAATAAGTTAATGGAAGAATTAAGACGAAAAAGAGACAATGAGGAAGAACTCTTGAAGCTAATAAAGCAGATGGAAAAAGACCTTGCATTTCAAAAACAGGTAGCAGAGAAACAGTTGAAAGAAAAGCAGAAAATTGAATTGGAAGCAAGAAGAAAAATAACTGAAATTCAATATTCATGTAGAGAAAATTCATTGCCAACTTATGCGATCACACAGGCTACGTCATGTGGGGCAGTAAGTGGTCTTCAGAAAGAAAATGACAAACAGAAAGCAGAAGAACTCAAACAGCAGGTAGATGAACTAACAGTCGCCAACAGGAAGGCCGAAAAAGACATGAGGGAGCTAAAGTATGAACTTGATGCCCTCCAACTTGAAAAAACCTCATCTGAAGAAAAGGCTCGTTTGCTAAAAGATAAACTAGATGAAACAAATAATACACTGAAGTGCCTGAAGTTGGAGTTGGAAAGGAAGAATCAAGTAGAGGAAGGGTATTCTCAACAACTCCGAGAACTTAGTAGGCAATTGAACCAAACCACAGGTAAAGCTGAAGAAGCCATGCAAGAAGCAAATGATCTCAAGAAAATAAAGCACAATTATCAGTTAGAATTAGAATCTCTTCATCATGAAAAAGGGAAACTGCAAAGAGAAGTAGACAGAATCACCAGGGCACATGCTGTAGCTGAGAGGGATATTCAGCATTTAAATTCACAAGTTCATTCTTTACAGGATAAGAAGGAATTTGAAAGAGTACGAATATGCCGGAGAAAATCAGATCATCTAAAAGAACAATTTGAGAAAAGCCATGAGCAGTTGCTTCAAAATATTAAAGCCGAAAAAGAAAATAATGATAAAATCCAAAAGCTTAATGAAGAATTAGAGAAAAGTAATCAGTGTGCAGAACTAATGAAACAAAAAGTAGATGAGCTTACTAGGCAGAATAATGAAACCAAATTAATGATGCAGAGAATTCAGGCAGAATCGGAGAAAGTAGTTTTGGAGAAACAAGCTATCCAGCAAAGATGTGAAACACTGAAAATTCAGGCAGATGGTTTTAAAGATCAGCTACGCAGCACAAATGAACACTTGCATAAACAGACAAAAACAGAACAGGATTTCCATAGACGAATTAAATGCCTCGAAGAAGACCTGGCTAAAAGTCAAAGTTTAGTAAGTGAATTTAAGCAAAAGTGTGACCAGCAGAACATTATCATCCAGAATACCGAGAAAGAAGTGAGAAATTTGAATGCAGAGCTCAATGCTTCCAAAGAAGAAAAGCGACGGGGGGAGCAGAAAGTTCAGCTACAACAAGCTCAGGTGCAAGAGTTAAATAATAGGTTGAAAAAGGTCCAAGATGAGTTGCACTTAAAGACCATAGAGGAGCAGATGACTCACAGAAAGATGGTTCTGTTTCAGGAAGAATCTGACAAATTCAAACGTTCAGCAGAGGAGTTTCGGAAAAAGATGGAAAAATTAATGGAGTCCAAAGTCATCACTGAAAATGACATTTCAGGCATTAAGCTTGATTTTGTGTCTCTTCAGCAAGAAAACTACAGAGCTCAAGAGAATGCTAAGGTTTGTGAAACAAATATTAAAGAACTTGAAAAACAGCTTCAGCAATATCGTGAGCAGGTGCAACAAGGGCGGCATGTGGAAGCAAATCATTACCAAAAATGTCGGAAGCTTGAGGATGAGCTGATAGCCCAGAAACGTGAAGTTGAAAACCTGAAGCAAAAAATGGACCAACAGATAAAGGAGCATGAGCATCAGTTAGTTTTGCTCCAGTGTGAAATCCAAAAAAAGAACATGGCCAAAGACTGTACCTTCAAACCAGATTTTGAGATGACAGTGAAGGAGTGTCAACAATCTGGAGAGCTCTCCTCTAGGAGCACTGGACAGCTTCACCCAGCAGCCACATCTCCTCTGTTGAGATGGACTCAAGAACCAAAGCAGTTAGAAGAAAAGTGGCAGCATCGGGTTGTAGAGCAAATGCCAACAGAAGTTCAATTCTGGCCACCAGGGGCTCCACTGGAGAAAGAGAAAAGCCAGCAGTGTTACTCAGAGTACTTTTCTCAAACAAGCACTGAATTACAGATAACTTTTGATGAGACAAACCCTATGACAAGACTGTCAGAAATTGAGAAGATAAGAGATCAAGCCCTGCACAATTCCAGACCACCTGTTAAGTACCAAGATAGCAAATGCGAGATGGAACTGGTGAAGCTTTTGACACCCTTAGAGGTATACTCTGGGTTCTGAGACCTTGTCAGCTACCTAATGTCAGGTTTCCTCTTTTGTTTCCTTTCTCCCCTAGATGAAATTTTTAACAGTTTTTAATGTGATTGGCACTTTGTAGTGCTGACAGGAAAATAACGCTGTAATTTTTCTAGTGATTTACTAGAATATTTATTATAAATTATCATTCTTTAATTTTTGAATGTTTGAGATTAAACACACAGATGTAGCAGGTATACTGTTATATCTGAGGAAATAGGTTTACCAAAATATGACTATAAAAATGCTAGAAGAACCAAGCAGTTAACTTTAACTTTTAACATATTCTGTGGCTAAATTTCATCTCAATCTTTTTTAAACATACCATTGTAATACCTTTAATTGTTGTCTAAAGTAAGCTTCAGACTCTCAAAATAATATTATTCATGATCCCACCTTGATTTGAAATTTTTTCTTCTCTTCACTTATCTCATTTTTGTAATTCAAGGAAATATGTTTGGATTGAGAAGGGGTAAACTGAAATAATGTTCTTTAGGTGACTTTTAACATCTTATAAATTCCTGTTACAGATAGCTAAGAACAAGCAGTGTGATATGCATACAGAAGTCACAATCTTAAAACAAGAAAAGAATCCAGTTCCGAGTGCCGAAGAATGGATGCTTGAAGGGTACAGAGCGTCTGGTGGACTCACGAGAGATTTCCTTAAGAAAGGCTTAGAACCAGACACGTTCCAGAACTTTGATGGCGATCATGCGTGTTCAGTTAGAGATGATGAGTTTAAATTCCAGGGGCTCAGGCACACTGTGACTGCCAGGCAGTTGGTTGAAGCTAAACTTCTGGACATGAGAACGATTGAGCAGCTGCGACTTGGTCTTAAGACTGTTGAAGAAGTTCAGAAAACTCTTAGCAAGTTTTTGACAAAAGCCACCTCAATTTCAGGGCTTTACCTAGAATCTACAAAAGAAAAGATTTCATTTTCCTCAGCAGCCAAGAGAATCATAATAGACAAAATGATGGCTTTGGCATTTTTAGAGGCTCAGGCTGCAACAGGTTTTATAATCGATCCCATTTCAGGTCAGACATTTTCTGTTGAAGATGCAGTTCTGAAAGGAGTTGTTGACTCTGAATTTAGAGTTAGGCTTCTTGAGGCAGAGAAGGCAGCTGTGGGGTATTCACATTCTTCTAAGACATTGTCAGTGTTTCAAGCTATGGAAAATAGAATGCTTGACAGACAAAAAGGTAAACATATCTTGGAGGCCCAGATTGCCAGTGGGGGCGTCATTGACCCTGTGAGGGGCATTCGTGTTCCTCCAGAAATTGCTCTGCAGCAAGGGTTATTAAATAATGCCATCTTACAGTTTTTACATGAGCCCTCCAGCAACACAAGAGTTTTTCCTAATCCTAATAACAGGCAAGCTCTGTATTATTCAGAATTATTGCGAATGTGTGTATTTGATATAGATTGCCAGTGCCTTCTATTTCCATTTGGGGAGAGGAACATTTCCAATCTCAATGTGGAGAAAACTCATAAAATTTCTGTAGTAGATATTAAAACAGGAGCAGAACTGACTGCATATGAGGCTTTCCAGAGAAACCTAATTGAAAAAAGTATGTATCTTCAACTTTCAGGGCAGCAATATCAGTGGAAGGAAGCCACATTTTTTGAATCCTATGGGCATCCTTCTCATATGCTGACTGATACTAAAACAGGATTACAGTTCAATATCAATGAGGCTATCGAGCAGGGAACAGTTGACAAAGCCATGGTCAAAAAGTATCAGGAAGGCCTCATCACGCTTACAGAACTTGCTGATTCTTTGCTCTGTCGGTTAGTTCCCAAGAAGGATTTGCATAGTCCTGTTGCAGGGTATTGGCTGACTGCTAGTGGGGAAAGGATCTCTGTACTAAAGGCCTCCCGTAGAAATTTGGTTGATCGGATTACTGCCCTCAGATGCCTGGAAGCCCAAGTCAGTACAGGGGGGATCATTGATCCTCTTACTGGCAAAAAGTACCGGGTGGCTGAAGCTTTACACAGAGGCCTAGTTGATGAGGGGTTTGCCCAGCAACTGCGACAGTGTGAATTAGTAATCACAGGGATTGGCCATCCCGTCACTAAGAAAGTGATGTCAGTGATGGAAGCGGTGAATGCAAATATCATAAGTAAGGAAATGGGAATCCGATGTCTGGAATTTCAGTACTTGACAGGGGGGTTGATCGAGCCGCAGGTTCACTCTCGGTTGTCAATAGAAGAGGCTCTCCAAGTAGGTATTATAGATGTCCTTGTTGCTACAAAACTCAAAGATCAAAAGTCATATGTCAGAAATATAATATGTCCCCAGACAAAAAGAAAGTTGACATATAAAGAAGCTTTAGAAAAATCTGATTTTGATTTCCACACAGGACTTAAACTGTTAGAAGTGTCAGAACCCTTGATAACAGGAATTTCTAGCCTCTACTATTCTTCTTAATAGGACATGTTTAAAAACTTTGTCCAAGGGGTGATGCCGGCTGATTCATGCTATCTGTCCAGAGCACGATGACATCGGCTACATATACAGTCTAGGAATTGTGTGTAACATACTCTGTTTATTTCTTGAGGGCTGGAAATTACTTAGTGCTCAGAAGACAGAATAATTTTTACATTTAAAATAGCAAAAGATCTACTGCCCTTAAAATGGTTTCATTTAGCTTTGAGAATAGCTTTTTGAATCTTGCCCGCACTGAAATAAGCATGTTTTACCTAGAATGTGGCGTAAGCTTCCTGAACTGCAACAAATTCACAGCATCATTTCTTTAAAATTCCCCTTCACCAAATAGATCCAGCCTGGTGTTAGTTTTCTCATTTAGTAAAAAATATATTGCACTCACTGAAAGAGCACTTCACAAAGCACCATGGAATCAAGAGAAAGGTAATAATTCATTCCCACATCCATGAGGCTGCAGGGTTTTGGATTGCTTCCAAAAATGAAAAACCTTTGAATTTTCCTGTAGATAGTGGCCTTCTTTACATATTAAAATGTTTACCACAATCTCTCATTTCTAGTTAATACTTTGGAATTAAAAGCTAACATTATGAATGCATTGTGTGTTTGAGGAGGGGAAGGACTTTTCTTCATTCTATGTAGTTTTCTTATGTTTATAGACATTCTCTGTTCTTTCATCTTCCCATTTTCTGACACCTTTCTGTTAAGACAATCATGACTATAATGCTAATGCAAAGGCAGCAATTCAAAGATCTTCTAGTGCCTCATGAATAAAGTTGAAATTTTAAATTTGTCGTATTGATGGAACAGCTGGGAGGTTGGACTGATCACTAAAGAATGTTTGTCACAGCTTTTTTTGCTACTATCAACATTCTGGAGATACATATGCTATATAACGTGGTTAAGTGAATGAATAAAATATTTCAGTAACCTGCGTGTGGTGAAAAAACATTTTTACATTTTTGTATTCTATGCAGAGGTCAGTTTAATAGCTCAGTCATTTACTGGAATGTATCTTTTTTTTAACCACTCACACTTGTCAGAAGTCACTGGAAGAAGAAAAGAAAGAGCATGTTGATAAGGCCAAAGAATTGCAGAAATGGGTGTCAAATATCAGCAAGACATTGAAAGATGGAGAGAAGGCTGGAAAATCTCCCTTCTCTGAGCAAAAGGTATCCACAGAGGTCCTGGTTTAATAATAGTGGGTAGACTTTACTGAGATGATATAGTCCACCTAGCACAATGTTTAATTCTTTACCTTAATTTTCTCCATTTTTGTTGGCAATTACAATGAAGATCAGAGAGGCTAAGTAACTTGCCCAAAGAATCAAAGTTAGTATGTGACAGAAGAAGGTACCTCTGATTCCCAAACCTAAACTCTCTATATTGGCCGTACTATTAGTAAACTAATATGGTATACTGCTTTTCCTAATAGTTGTATCTGCTTCCTGATTATTATGAGAATTGCTGAAGAGCAGAGTCATCCTGTTTGAGTAGCCATGCACTCCATATCATAAAGATGTAAATATAAAAAGTTTCAAGAACAATGAAAATACAAACTGGGATATTAACATTCTTGAGTAATAACATTAGTTGTGCTTTTCTGAGTCTTTTCTGTTTCATGGGGAAGTATGTAGAGTCAATCACTGGAAATTCTAGTTTCTTTCCCTTACCCAAGTGAATGCTTTAGTCCTATGAGCTACCTTCTCTTCCCCAACTACTTCGCATTAGGCTACAGCTTGTGAGATGTTAGCGCTCCATTGCACTGCACCACTTGAAGCTCTTAGGACATTGGTGGTTAAGGTTTAAATTCTAGTACTTCTGCTGCTGCTGATAGCACTGGAATTGCTGCTGAATTTTTAAAAAATAAATTTCCACTAAGGAAGCATTTTTCTCAAGGAATATTTTTCCTATATTGCATTCCTGCTCTTGCCTCACATTTGGAAATTTCATGGGCTATCAGCTAATTTCAATATTTAGCTCCCCCTTATAGCTCTGCATCAGTACGTACCTGTCATCAGTTAAAACAGACATCATTGACATGATTAAATAGGGGAAAATGTTAATGTCTTGTCTAATTTTGTCTATGAGATCAGGCAAATCTACCTTAACTGGGAATCTTTCTCGGAGAAATTTTTGGACCTAAGTATGTACTTGAAATATTTAATCGAAATAAAGTTGTATTAGCTCATAGACTTACAATACACCACATATGATATAGTGTGGAAGAGAAGAGAAGTTGGAAAGCACTTACATTTGGTGTTTTAAATAAAAAACCCTCAAAGTAATTTAATGCAAATATTTCATAAAATATATTCTTCCCTTTCATTTTCTCATCAAATAGGAAGATGACTAAAATAAAGACATAAACCTTTATAAAAATTCCTTGGGAAAACAAGTTTCTTTTGTGAAATGTGGATTATAAACCCTTGGTATTTTTACATTCTGTAGTTCTTAATGCTCCAAAACATTACTAGATCAGATTTAGACCTGGTCCACATCAAAGTAGAGAGACATTTTTTTAATGCAGAGAATGGTCTTAATTTTAACTTTCTAAGGATACTTGTTTATCTCTTGCTAAAGTAAATTTAAGGTAATTTGATGTGAATGTGTCCTTCAAAAATCAATATGGCCTCATGATTACCTGTAAATGTGAAAAATAGATTTTAAGTTGACTCTAAATAGAATACACAGGGGAAAATACACCTTTTCATTGGATCATTATTTCCTCTCTGCTCATTTAAAAGAATGGCAATTAATTTCTGAAATGAGGGATTCAGAAGTGAAACACTGAGAGATAGGAGAAAGTGTTATGACCTCTTGCTTTCCCCCAACCAGATCAGTTTTATTTCTCTAACCTTCACAATCAACATTAACAAAGAAAGGTCTTAGCGTTAGAAATGATATATTCTTGATCTGCATATCTACAGATCACCATAATTTTTTTCAAAAGGAGCCTTGTATCTAGGAACCTAGGAGGAGGAAGATATTCTTCGGAAGCAGTATTCCACATTCATGTATCTTTTTGAGTTCTATGATGTATTAATACAAGGATGACGTGGGGCCAGTGCTGACCCTTGGGACTCCTGAGTGTTAAGCCCTCCTTTGTTAATGGTTGAGTTGGGGTAAATTTGAGAATCCTATAGTGTTGTATGTTTATTTCCTAATGAAAATGATGGCATTAAGGATAAAGAGAGGAGCTTTCATCAATCATGCGTTCTAAATAAAGTCCTCTTTCTTTATTCAGGCCTGTAGATTACTAATAACTGATAGATTATTGACTTGGGTCACCCAGAAAGTAGGCCCATCATTTGGGTCTTCATTAAAATTTGATTCATTTTTTTAAAAACTAGTGCTTAGTTCTGTCGAGGGGAGAGTTTGAATGTGACTTCTTTACCTTACAGATATCCAGTGAGGAAATATCAACCAAGAAGGAACAATTATCTGAAGCACTTCAAACCATGCAGCTGTTTTTGGCTAAACATGGAGACAAGTATGTTGGTTGTCATTAGCTCTGTGATTCAAAGTAGGGAAGGGTTCGTATTAATAAAAACATTCAGCAAAGCAGAAGATAGAAAATTTTAAGAGATTTTTAAATGGAACTCAAACTAATCACATTTTACTTAATATGGTAACATAAGCAATATAAACTTAGCAATTTAATTAATTGCCACTTTTAGTCTTTACCACAACTCTGAAATGTACCTATTGTCCTCATACATTACTTATAAGGAAACAGGCTCAGAGAGGTTATAGTTTAATAGCTAGTGAAAGATAGAATAAGGACTCCCAAGTCAAGTCTTAATGCTAAGTAGTACTCTATGAGACGTACCTTTCGGAAAATATGTGTAAAATCTTCTTAATTTTCTTAGCTGAGACCTGTAGCAGCCTGATTTCTCATATTTTGGTCCTACTTTTTGTGACAAGGCACCTCACATATTTCAACCAATGCTTCAGTCAAAGAAGGAATTTGTCCTCTTAAACCCTTTTTGGATGACCTCTTTAGGGTTATTCCAGAATGTATTAGAGAATCAGGTTAATTTCCTTGTAAATTTCCTTTTTATTTATCCCTAAGTTGAAACAAATTTCATCTTGAGAAATGGTACCTTATTGTCCCTTTTCTGTTTTAGGACTAACAATGGAGTCTTTCATTTTGTCAGATAATAGCAGTTGTTGTTCTGGAAATTTGTATGTTAGAAAAGTGCCAATATATTATTAATAGTTTACATCTTTTCCTTCAGTCCTTTTCTCAGGCAAGACAAAGATTCCTATACAGTGATACCAAGAGCTGAGAAATATGTATGTGAGGCTGTGTTTTATTTTATAATCATGTGACAAAGTTATTGAATCAAATATATCATCTTTATCACTTGAAGACTTATACTACCCTTTTCATACTTTCTGGTTATTTTAGAATGACAGATGAAGAAAGAAATGAACTGGAAAAACAAGTGAAAACTCTTCAAGAAGGTTATAATTTATTATTCAGTGAATCTCTGAAGCAACTGCAAGAATCACAAACCTCAGGAGATGTAAAGGTAGAGGAAAAGGTAATATTTATTTAAACATGAAGCTGTTTCAAGAAGCGTAGTCTTATTGCATGGCTGTGGAAATATATGTCAATAATAAAGAAATAACTTTGAATTTTGTACATGGATAAAATATGGATGGAGTTTATTTAAACGTTTGGAGATCTCAGTGTTTATTAAATGCAGTCTTACACATGCTGATCATCAGTTTCTGTGACATCTTAATCTCTGCCTTGCATGGTAAAAGAAAGATATCATTCATTTTTCTAACTCTTCTCCTTAAAAGCCATTCTTCTAGTATATTAGATATTATATAATATGATGTTTTAAAAGAGCCTGTGAGTTATCCCTAAAGGTGACATTGATGTGTTATGGAGTTTGTTTGATTTACAGAGATACCTATGAGACTTAATTTGAGTAATACAAGACCATATGTTATAGTGAGGATGCCCTAGCATCTTCTTAAAATATAACAAATCATTTAAAATTTGACTGGTACTTAAATGTTCTCACCTTGACTGTACATGTCAACACGCCCAACATAATTTTCAATATTCAAAAAGTTATCTTTATATTTAATTTTGTTACTCCCGGGAATACTTTCCACATAATTTATCATGTTTTGGGGGTACGTAACAATTTTTCTGGTTTCTTAGTTTTTTACTGTCTTTGAAGAAGTCCATATGCTGTAAACATCAATAGCATGGGGTTTGATACTCTCTTTCATGCCACTAGACTCTAATCTCACCCAAGTACAGAAAGCATGATTTGCCTTCTAGGTATGTGTTCTGTTTTCTCACTATCATCATCTACTCTGTGTGTGTCTTCACTAACCTTGTTAATATACACGATATTAAGTTTTCAATTCACAGATGCATGTTGTTTTCAAAGCTTTTATCACATCCTGTGCTGTTGAATAGATCACTGACATAGATCACTTGTGCATTTGAGCTGCCTAACATTCACAGCATTGCTGCACCTTGGTAAGTAGAGGATTTTTATGTTGAAGTGTATTATTTATTAAAAAAAAAAAACCTAAGTTGCATGAAACTCTGCCCACCCTTGTATGACAGACTGACCTGAATTTTTTTGTGTTTTCCTTTCAGCTGGATAAAGTGATTGCAGGCACCATTGATCAGACAACTGGAGAAGTCCTTTCCATCTTTCAGGCAGTTTTAAGAGGCCTCATTGATTATGGGACAGGAATTAGGTTGCTTGAGTCACAGCTAATGATTTCTGGTCTAATTTCACCAGAATTAAAAAAGTGCTTTGATCTTAAAGATGCCGAAAGCCATGGCGTTATTGATGAGCAAATTCTGTGCCAACTCCAAGAACTAAATAATGCTAAGGAGATTATTTCTGCTATGTCATCTACTACAATTCCAGTACTGGATGCTCTGGCTCAAAGTGTGATATCAGAATCCATGGCCATCAAAGTTCTTGAGATACTGCTTTCCACAGGCTTTCTGGTTATTCCAGCCACAGGAGAACAGTTGACCCTACAGAAGGCTTTCCAACAGAACTTGATTTCCTCCTCATTATTTTCTAAAGTCCTGGAAAGACAAAATATGTGCAAAGATCTTATTGACCCATACACCTCTGAGAAGGTGTCTTTAATAGATATGGTACAAAGAAGTATTTTACAAGAGAACACTGGAATGTGGCTTCTACCTGTGAGACCACAAGAAGGAGGTAGAATAACATTAAAATGTGGAAGAAACATAAGCATTTTAAGAGCAGCTCATGAAGGTCTCATAGACCGTGAAACCATGTTTAGGTTATTAGGGGCACAGCTTCTTTCTGGAGGTCTGATCAATGGCAACTCTGGTCAAAGAATGACTGTTGAAGAAGCTATGGCAGAAGGGGTGATTGACAGAGACACTGCCAGCAGTGTTCTCACGTACCAGGTTGAAACTGGTGGAATCATCCACTCAAACCCTGCCAAACGTTTAACTGTAGACGAAGCAGTCCAGTGTGATTTGATTACTTCCAGTAGTGCTCTTCTGGTACTAGAGGCTCAGCGAGGCTATGTTGGACTCATTTGGCCCCACTCTGGTGAAATATTTCCCACGTCTTCGTCCTTGCAGCAAGAGTTGATTACAAATGAATTGGCCTACAAAATCCTGAACGGCAGGCAGAAAATAGCTGCTCTTTATATTCCAGAAAGTTCTCAGGTCATTGGTTTGGATGTTGCTAAACAGCTGGGAATTATAGATAATAACACAGCATTGATTTTAAAAAATATAATACTGCCTGATAAAATGCCAGATTTAGGAGATTTAGAAACTTGTAAAAATGCCAGAAGATGGCTCTCTTTTTGTAAATTCCAGCCATCTACAGTTCATGATTATAGGCAAGAAGAGGATGTTTTTGATGGAGAAGAACCAGTGGCAACTCAGAGCTCAGAGCAAACTAAAAAATTATTCCTATCTTATTTGATGATAAATAGCTATATGGATGCAAACACAGGGCAGAGGCTTTTGCTGTATGATGGTGACTTGGATGAGGCTGTTGGCATGCTACTGGAAGGCTGTAGTACAGAACTGGATGGGGACACACCCGTAAAAGATTGTCTCGATGTCTTAAGCTTCCCTGGCATATTTCTTAATAATGCTCCAAGTAAAGAAAAGGATGAATGTGCAGTTTCACCAGGTCATTTTGATCAATGTCATTGCAGAGAGCCTGAACATAAAGAGACCCCTGAAAATAAAAACAGTGTGATAGATGAAGAATTTCATGAAATGAGAAATAATGTTATCAGTAGTGGATTTTGGCAGTCAGAAAGCCCGGCAAATATAATACCAATTGATCATAAAGTTAACAGTTCATCCAGTGTGTGTGTTCCCAGTCCCGTATCATATTTAACACAGACTGAACTTGCAGAAGTTAGCATGCTTAGACATGACTCTGAAAACATGCTTAAACACTGTGAAAATCAAACTCAAGTTGAAACTAAGGAACATGCAAATGAATGTAGTCATTCTAAAGACATTAAAAACTTTGCAAGTGATTTGATAACAAATCCTATTGTGAAATCAAAAACGAGTAGATTCTGTGATTTGAGTGAAACAGAGAATGAAGATAATATAAACAAGGATTCACTTATCTTTGACTATTCCCCCAGACTAAGTGCCCTGTTAACTCATGACAAATTGAGGCACAGTCAGGGAGGTTTTAATGATGCACACACACCAGACAGTAGTGGAAATAAATGTGACAACTCTACATTGTCATTCAATGACCAAACAACGTTATCAGGTCATAGAATGGGAGAAAAATTTCAAGACCAGTTTCTGGGAATTGCAGCTATCAACATTAGTTTACAGGGAGAGGACTCTGGACAGAAAGCTTTAAATATTGGTTGTAGTAATCCTCAAGTACAATGTCACAATGATAAATACATTTCATATACTTCTGGTGAGGATGAAAAAATACATACTGCTTCTCGGCAGAAACCTGAGGATGAGCAGAATGAGGCTGAATTGGAAGAGTACTCCCGTGCAGCTCCTGTTTGTGGGATGCCATTGCTCGAAGAAACCATCAGTGCTGGTGACTATGAAACGTCACTACTGGATGGTCAGAAGAGTGACACAGGAACAGACACTGATAGTGATGATGACTTTTACGATACCCCCTTGTTTGAAGATGATGACCATGATTCTCTGCTTCTTGAAGGTGATGATCGGGATGGTCTGCAACCCGAGGACTATGACACGCTGCAAGAGGAAAATGATGGGATGACTCCTCTGGGTGATGTTTTTTATGATGTTTCAAAAGGGAATGAAAATTCTGTGGTTTCCCAGGAGGGACTAGTTGGTAGCTTAAGTGTGAGGGGCAAAGCACAGTGTCTTCAGGATTTTCTCGTAGGTATTGAGAAAGCTGAATTAGATTCTGGTGAAGAAATACATTTAAATTCGTTTAGCTCAGAGAAAGTGAACAGACAGTCACTGGAAACTGTGTTAGAAAGGGAATGCACAAATAACCTTGAAGGTGATGAGTCTGACTCATTCACTGATTATGAAATTGTAGGAAAGGAAGAGAGCTTCAGTGCTTCATTAAAATTTGATGACACTGGCTGTTGGAGAGGAAGAAAAGAAGAGTATGTAACTGGACAAGAATTTCAATCTGATACTGATTATTTAGATTCTATGCAAAGTGAAGAAAGTTATGGGGATTATATATGTGACAGTAATGATCAGGATGATGATGATGATGATGATAGTGGTGCTGATGACCATGGCCGTGGTGATGTCAATGTTGGTGTTGAAGAAGGAGGAGGAGGAGTGGGAGAGGAAAACAGAAAGCCAAAGTGCCAAGACGAGACTGAAGATATGGATATCCAGTTGTGTGCCTCCATTGTGAGTGAAAAGGAAAACAATGATGAAAGTCAAAGTATTAATAAAACAATTTTCCTGGATAAAAGGAATGATTATAGTTTTATAGAAAAACAGCAAAGTGCAAATGTTTTACAGCTGGAATCAACCAGTAAGAGTAGCTTAGTTAATGAAAGAAGGAACGCTCCAGAATATACAACTGAGATTGTTGGAAAAAGCAAAGAAAATCTGTTGAATGATGAGATAACACTTAAGGATATATTGCTGCCTACCATTAAAGATGCTGAATCTGAAAAAACCTTTGGCTCTGTAAATATTTCATCTAATAATAGTAATATCAGTTCCAGTTCTGAATTAGGTAGTCTAACAAACACAGAGGTTAAGTTGATTCAAGAGCCACAATCTACTGACTCTGTGAAAGGTAGAGATCAATATTTTGAGGATGTAACACCTAAAGTTGACTCGTCTTTGGATAAAATCATTTATTCTGAGCCTGATTTAATAGGAGAACCTGCTGAGAGAAGCCATTTTTCATCCATAGCTTCTGTCACTGACAAAGATCATGAAGGAAATGGAAGAGATCTTATTAAAGGGAGAGATGACAAAAATGATGCACCAATAGAAGATGAGAAATCAATTCAGAAAGCATACTCGGGTAGAGGAGAAGTGCTTGTAGAAGGTCTAGTAGAAGAAGACAATGAATATCTCCAGCTTTTGCCTAGTAAAAGTACAAGGGATAGTTCCAATTTAGCTAATAGTCCACTTCCATTTCCACAAATCACAAACAATGAAGAACTTAATCAGAAAGGAAGCCTTAAAAAAGCAACTGTGGCTCTTAAAGATGAACCAGAGAATCTACAAACAATGGTTGGTAAAAGTCCAGTTCAGTTTGAGAACCTTGAAGAAATATTTGACACATCAGTCTCCAAAGTTATCAGTGATGACATTACTTCAGACATTCCATCCTCTGAAGGGAGTACATGTATTGAGAAACATTCACTCACTGATGGTCCTGAAAAAGAGCTTGATTTGTTTGCTTATTTAAAACATTGTGCTAAAAATATAAAAGCAAAAGATCTGCCAAAACCAAATGAAGATATCCCAAGCTGTGTTTTAATAGCTGCCCCTCCTGTGAAGGAGCATTTACAATTAGGAATTAATCATGCAGAAGAGAAGTCAACTCGTTCCCAAGAAGACTCGCCTCTAAAAGAGATGATCCAACATAATGATCTTTGTACTAAAGAAAGCATCACAGAAGGAGGAACAGAAATTCCTCAGTTAACACCAGAAAGTAAAGAAACCACGCTTTCCATCTTACCTCTTAAAAATGTGGAAGACCTTGGAAAAAATACTGATTTTGTGCCTTCAGAGCTCTGTAGAAATGGAATAAAAAATGATAATTCCAGTAGCACTTTAGATACTGACTACTCACTCTTAGAAATTAACAAGGAGAAAGAAAGAATTGAGAAACAGCCACCGAAAGAACAAGCCTTGTCTCCAAGACCCCAAGAAAAGGAGGTTCAGATTCCTGAATTATCTCAGGTATTTGTTGAGGATGTAAAGGATATCTTAAAAAGCAGGTTGAAAGAAAGTCATAGAAATCCTCAAGATGTTGAAGAACCTTTGGCCTGTGTAGACACTAGGATTTTAATTCAAAACTTAATTAAAAGAGTTAGCACATCACAGTTGGTAAATGAAGCATCTAATATTCCCAGTGACTCTAAAATCAGTGACTATACTGGAATTTCCCCCATTAGTAGTTCATCGGAACTAAGAGCAGAGAATAGAGATGATCCTATTGCAAATCTTAAGTCTCAGCTTCTCCTTGCTATACTGAAGCAAAATCAACATAGCCAAAAGATTCCAGGAGCATTTGAATTGATGAGAGAATTAACTCAAATGGAGTATGACCTCAGCAAAAGAGGTATTACATCTACAGTCCTTCCACTACAACTTGAAAATATTTTCTGCAAGCTGCTTGCTGATGGATATTCGGAAAAAGTAGAACAGGTTGGAGACTTGAATCAAAAAGCATGTAGTACTTCTGAGATGGTGGAAGAAAAGCCACATGTTCTTGGTGATCTTAAAAGCAAAGAAGGAAACCACTGTTCTCTTAATTTACAAACTATAAAAGAAATTGGACTAGAAAGTTCTACGGTGTGTGCATCAGCATTGCCAAGAGATGAGAAGCTTGAGGAGCTAGGCAATGATTCCCCAAACCATTTGGAATGTATTTCAGAGTCAAAACGAATGACTTCTGGAGATTGCTCAATGGAACAAGTAAGTTGACTTATACATTTTCATATGGAAGTACCTGCATGAAACACTTGGGAATAATCCTATATATTTGATTTGCTTTTAAAATCTGCATAAAAGCTATTGAAGTAAAATATCCAAATTTGTTTTTAGTTTTCCAGCGAGTTGCAGCAGTGTTTACAGCACACTGAAAAAATGCATGAGTATTTGGCTTTGCTTCAAGATATGAAACCCCCCTTAGACAACCAGGAGTCTCTGGATAACAATTTAGAAACTTTGAAGAATCAATTTAAACAGTTAGAGGTAAGAGTTGTCTGCTGCCTATTTATAGATGGTAGTCAGCTGATGTTAGGTTTGGAAAAAGAAGCAGAGCTCTTTTATGTTTCATGTTTATATTTGTGTTTTTCACTAAATAGTAAATCTAAATAGATAAATTTCTTTGCAGACATTTGAATTGGGATTGGCTCCAATTGCTGTGATTTTAAGAAAAGATATGAAGTTGGCAGAAGATTTCTTAAAGTCTCTTCCCAGTGACTTTCCCAGAGGGCATCTCGAGGAATTGAGTGCAAGCCATCAGAGTTTGCAGACTGCCTTCTCTTCCCTCAGCAACATGTCTTCAGAAAGAAGGAAACAGATCATGCTTGCAATTGACTCTGAAATGGTAGGCATATAAAATGTAAAATTCCGATTTTTGAAGACAATTTGATTATTTGAGAATTTAGTCATAAGGTGAAGTATTTTATGTTTAGAGGGTTAAAGCCTTACATGAGAATCACTGTTTGTAAAGATTTGAAATTT